ACATGTTTTAATGATACTTTAATGTTCTATGATATACATGTTTTAATGATACTTTAATGTTCTATGATATACATATTTTCATGATACTTTATTGTCTTCCTAAGACATAATAGTTTATGGTATTTTATACCTTTAAATTTTGTATCGATGTTTAAATGTGGAATTTCTTTACATTTGATTTGATGCTTAAACCTAGAACTATCCGAACTGGATCCATTGGGCTCACTCTAGACAAATATAGAAATTGGTGAAATAAATAGAATAATCAAGTTTTCGGGTATCATAACTGACGATAAATTATAATATGCTGACCCCATAAGAACTATTAGTAAAATATTTGCGAGAGAAATAGGTAAAATAATCAAAGTAGAAAAATTGGTTAATTAGAAGTTTTTGATAACTTTATATTATAGTTTTATTAATTCACATTTAATATATGCAAATACTTGTTGTTGTTTTTTGGGGGGGCAATAGAATAGAATATAGATCTTTTGTATGAGAGCAAATTTAGTTGGAATTCTGTTTATCGGTTCTTCCATAAATACTCAATATTAGATATTTCCATATTTCATCTAAAATGTACTCGGAGGTGAACTCATTCATTTGAACTACTAACGTAAACACTATTCGAACGCTATAACTGTAATGACTGATTTCTTTGAAATCTGGTGAAATCAGTCGCTTGAATTCTGATTGGCTAAGACTATTTTTCCTCGTTAACTTAAATTCTCATTAGCTAAAACTACCTTTCCTCATTCACTTGAATTCTGATTAGCTAAAACTACTTTTCATCATTCACTTTAATTATGATTGGCTAAGACTGTTTTTCCTCACTAACATGAATTTTGATTGGCTAAGACTACATTTCTTGACTCACTTGAATTTTGATTGGCTAAGACTACCTTTCCTTGTTCACTCGAATTCTGATTGACTAAGACTATCTAACCTTCTGACATTCTCTATAATATTCCAAGTTCTTGCTTTCCAGAACATCTCTGCCTTAATCAATGGTTACGTTAATGACAAAGTAAGTCAACAGTGGTGGCTGTATATCGTTCACATCTATACCCGGCTCACGATAGTCACCAAATTCATATTACTCAATAACATTGAAAAACTTCCAATAAAGTAGCAACATTAGATACTACAGAATATCTAAATTTTCATATTTATTTATTTTTGGTAATTGAAGTTTTATCTTCATTTTATTCATTCATTAGTCATTAAATAAATTTTATCTTTACATTCGTTGCGTGCCTATTTTTATCCTTAATTCTGGTATTTCTGCTAGCCATTACCTATTTATATGTTCTTAGTTTTAATTGGAGGAACATGTGACTAATTATTCCATATAACTTTCTATTCTTTCAGATCTGGCATGACCTAATTGTTAAGGTACTCGACTCACAATCTGCGGGTTCTGGGTCGAATCTCCATCATTGAACATACTCGCCTATTTCAGCCGTGGAAGCGTTATTATGTTACGCACAGTCCTACTATTCGTTAGTAAATAAGTAGCCCAGAAGTTAGCGGTGGGTGGTGATGACTAGCTGTCTTTCCTCTAGTTTATCACTGCTAAATTAGGGACGTCTAGCGCAGATAGCCCTCATGTTGCTTTGCAAGAAATTCAAACCAATTCCTTTTTTTTTCGGGGGGGGGGATGGCAGTTATATTTTTGTTGTCCGGTATAAACATCATTCTATTGTTTTATTCCACTTTTACTTCTTATTTCCTGTACAAAACTTTCTTGGTTTATAATGTTTGTTTTCTGACCAGTAGGTATATTTCTCGGACTTGGATAGCCCATTACGCATATTGTAAACTTCTAGTTTACGCCCTTCTAATACAATTGCATTTTTGCTTCTACGTTTTCCTCACGCCTTCCTGTTGTTGCTATGCTTTCGTCACGGCACCAAATTGCTACTATGTTTTTCTCACATCTTATTTGCTACTATGTTTTTCTCATATCTTATTGCTACTATGTTTTTCTCACATCTTAATGCTACTATGTTTTTCTCACATCATCTTATTGCTACTATGTTTTTCTCACATCTTAATGCTACTATGTTTTTCTCACAACATCTTATTGCTACTATGTTTTCTCACATCTTATTTGCTACTATGTTTTTCTCATATCTTATTGCTACTATGTTTTTCTCACATCTTATTGCTACTATGTTTTTCTCACATCATCTTATTGCTACTATGTTTTTCTCACAACATCTTATTGCTACTATGTTTTTCTCACATCTTACTGCTACTAAGATTTCTTCACAACATCTTATTGCTACTATGTTTTCTCACATCTTATTGCTACTATGTTTTCTCACATCTTATTTGCTACTATGTTTTTCTCACATCTTATGCTACTATGTTTTTCTCACAACATCTTATTGCTACTATGTTTTTCTCACAACATCTTATTGCTAGTAAGATTTTCTAACATCTTATTGCAACTATTATTTTCTCACAACATCTTATTGCTACTAAGATTTTCTCATATCTTATTGCTACTATGTTTTCTCACATCTTATTTGCTACTATGTTTTTTCACAACATCTTATTGCTACTATGTTTTCTCATATCTTATTGCTACTATGTTTTCTCACATCTTAATGCTACTATGTTTTTCTCACATCTTAATGCTACTATGTTTTTCTCACAACATCTTATTGCTACTATGTTTTCTCACATCTTACTGCTACTATGTTTTCTCACATCTTATTTGCTACTATGTTTTTCTCACAACATCTTATTGCTACTATGTTTTCTCACATCTTACTGCTACTAAGATTTCTTCACAACATCTTATGCTACTATGTTTTTCTCACAACATCTCATTGCTACTATGATTTCTTCACAACATCTTATTGCTAGTAAGATTTTCTAACATCTTATTGCTACTATTATTTTCTCACAACATCTTATTGCTACTATTATTTTCTCACAACATCTTATTGCTACTATGTTTTTCTCACAACATCTTATTGCTACTATGTTTTCTCACATCTTATTGCTACTAAGATTTCTTCACAACATCTTATTGCTACTAAGATTTTCTCACAACATCTTATTGCTACTAAGATTTTTAACATCTTATTGCTACTAAGATTTTCTAACATCTTATTTGCTACTATGCTTTTCTCACATCTTATTGCTACTATGTTTTTCTCACAATATCTTGTTGCTACTAAGATTTTCTAACATCTTATTGCTACTGTTTTTCTCACATCTTATTGCTACTGTGTTTTTCTCAAAACATTTTATTGCAACTAAGATTTTCTAACATCTTATTGCTACTATGTTTTTCTCACAACATCTTATTGCTACTGTGTTTTTCTCAAAACATTTTATTGCAACTAAGATTTTCTAACATCTTATTGCTACTATGTTTTTCTCACAACATCTTATTGCTAGTAAGATTTTCCAACATCTTATTGCTACTATTATTTTCTCACAACATCTTATTGCTACTATGTTTTTCTCACATCTTAATGCTACTATGTTTTCTCACATCTTATTGCTACTAAGATTTCTTCACAACATCTTATTGCTACTAAGATTTTCTCATATCTTATTGCTACTGTGTTTTCTCACATCTTATTTGCTACTATGTTTTTCTCATATGTTATTGCTACTGTGTTTTCTCACATCTTATTTGCTACTATGTTTTTCTCATATCTTATTGCTACTATGTTTTCTCACATCTTATGCTACTATGTTTTTCTCACAACATCTTATTGCTAGTAAGATTTTCCAACATCTTATTGCTACTATTATTTTCTCACAACATCTTATTGCTACTATGTTTTTCTCATATCTTATTGCTACTATGTTTTTCTCACATCATCTTATTGCTACTATGTTTTTCTCACAACATCTTATTACTACTATGCTTTTCTCACATCTTACTGCTACTAAGATTTCTTCACAACATCTTATTGCTACTAAGATTTTCTCATATCTTATTGCTACTATGTTTTCTCACATCTTATTTGCTACTAAGATTTTCTCATATCTTATTGCTACTAAGATTTTCTCACATCTTATTTGCTACTATGTTTTTCTCATATCTTATTGCTACTATGTTTTTCTCACATCTTATGCTCTATGTTTTTCTCACAACATCTTATTGCTACTATGTTTTTCTCACAACATCTTATTGCTAGTAGTTTTTCTCACAACATCTTATTGCTAGTAAGATTTTCTAACATCTTATTGCTACTATTATTTTCTCACAACATCTTATTGCTACTATTATTTTCTCACAACATGTTATTGCTACTATGTTTTTCTCACAACATCTTATTGCTACTATGTTTTCTCACATGTTATTGCTACTAAGATTTCTTCACAACATCTTATTGCTACTAAGATTTTCTCACAACATCTTATTGCTACTAAGATTTTCTAACATCTTATTGCTACTATGTTTTTCTCACAACATCTTATTGCTACTATGTTTTCTCACATGTTATTGCTACTAAGATTTCTTCACAACATCTTATTGCTACTGTGTTTTTCTCAAAACATTTTATTGCTACTAAGATTTTCTAACATCTTATTGCTACTATGTTTTTCTCACAACATCTTATTGGTACTGTGTTTTTCTAACATCTTATTGCTACTGTTTTTCTTACAACATCTTATTGCTACTGTGTTTTCTCACAACATCTTATTGCTACTGTGTTTTTCTAACATCTTATTGCTACTGTTTTTCTCACAACATCTTATTGCTACTGTGTTTTTCTAAAAATCTTATTGCTACTGTTTTTCTCACAACATCTTATTGCTACTGTTTTTCTCACAACATCTTATTGATAGTATGTTTTCCTCACAACATCTTATTAATAGTATGTTTTCCTCACAACATCTTATTGCTACTAAGATTATCTTACGACATTTGTGTTTGTATTGTTATGAAAATTCAGTTTTAAGCCACTTGTTTAAGAGTTTTGTCACATTTATTCATAATGACATTTTCTGCTCTTTTTAGATTTCCATTTCTCCTGGGCAGCAGTATTCATGTCTTGAGGGATATTGATCAGCTCCGGACATAATACTAGTTACGGCCACCATAACGCTGGACGAGGGAGGTTGGAAAGGTCCCCTTCACCCCCATTCCCATCAGCACACGGGACCCGGGGGGCCAGCGATACCTTTGGGAGTTGCTGGACCACCTCACGGCGTTCTACCTCATTCTCTACATCCCAGCAGCCCGGCATACGGACATCCGCCGTATTCGTCAATTGCAACAGTACCAAATAACCCCGTTCATCAGTGTCCTTCTGGACCCATGCCAGGACCTATGCCGCCCCATCATCCTGGACCTGGGGTTGTTTCCCACCCGCCCGGCATGCCTGATGGACGCCCATTGGATCACGGGTAAGATTATTTCCACAGTTATCGCTGGTGTGAAATAAACGTGTTTTTATAAAGTGAAACATTACTGAACAACTAGTGCGAAGCCTTTTCTCCACAAGTAAACACAGATTTCTAAACTTTATAACAATCAAGGACTGAATCGTTTCGCCCAATTTCGAACATGCAAGCTTTAAATAACAAGGAGTAGTATATTTTCTACGCACACGTTTATGAATGTTACACACAGTATAGTACTTCCTTTACTCTGTAGTGTTCATAAGATAAAGAACAGTTTATTTTTTTTCATATTCGTTGTTTATTAAACAGCCGAAACGAATGGAATTTCTTTAGATCCGTTCAGGATGGTGTACTTGTGCAATAGAGTTGTTTCGTCACTCCTAAAATATCTTCTACACAAATGAATTACATACGCTAGATGTAACACCTGCAGTTATTTTTAAACAGTGACCTCAATTCCAAAATTCCGCTTTCTTTAACGATAACAGGTTTTCTCGAGTATACGGACGATGGTTAGAGTTTGTAGAAAGCTGTAATAACAATTACATCAGAAGTGTGATTTGATAGCCTCGAACAGCTTTAGAAAGATTGTTTTACTAGGAAAGTGACCTGAATCTAGGACACACTGAGAAAGGCTATAGCTTCTAGAAACCTATAATAACTTTGTTTGACTACGAATGTAACCTGAATCTAGGACACACTGAGAAAGGGTACAGCTTCTAGAAACTATAATAACTTTGTTTAACTACGAATGTGACCTGAATCTAGGGCGCACTGAGAAAGGGTACAGCTTCTGGAAACCTATAATAACTTTGTTTTACTACGAATGTCACCTGAATCTAGGACACACTGAGAAAGGTTATAGCTCTAGAAACTATGATAACGTTATTTTACCAGGAATGTGACCTGAATCTAGGACACACTAAGAAAGGTTATAGCGTCTAGAAACCTATGATAACGTTATTTTACCAGGAATGTGACCTCAATATAGGAGACACTGAGAAAGGTTATTTTCCTTTAGAAACCTATGGTAGCTTAAGTTTCAAGGGTCATTTATTTAAATCATGGTAAATCATAAAACAAACTTTGAGACTATCTATACGATGTATTTATTCAACTTCAGCTTTCGTAGCATCCATATTAAAATTATCTGTCACTTTAGAGAAGCTCGTAAATGATCGTCAAAGCTTACTTTCAATAGAAAAATTGCGAACTTAGCCCTTAAATTAAGTTTGTTTTTCTATGATTAATGAAGTTTAGATTAAGAACCTGACTTTCGTGCTTGTTAGAGACTTATAATAAAATTTTGGTTGTAACAGTTGTGTGCCGCATTTCTGCATGGGTTGGTATAAATTGGGTTCACGCGTGAATAAAATGTCATTTTTAATATTCCATATACACTGAGTGGTCACAAGTAAATAGACACCTAATTTTTCGTCATTTAACTGATTTATGCTGACTAATTTGTGTTCACAGAGCACTATATAAATGAAAATGGTCCGCACACTAATTATCTTGTGCTACAACATGCCTAGAACTGAAGGTTCTCTCGAATTGTCAGATTTTGTTAGAGGAAGGATAGTTGGTTAAGCAGATGGTGGAATAAGTCAGCGGCAAATTTCGCTTTCGACAGTCAACAGAATCATCGTGCAGTTCAGAAAACACGGCAAGGAAACAACTGAGCAGC